CAGAGAGAGACAGAGCATGAACGGGGGAGGGTCAGAGAGAAAGGGAGACACAGAATCCAAAACAGGCTCCAGGCTCTGAGCTGTCAGCACAGAGCCCGACGCGGGGCTTGAACTCAGGGACCGCGAGATCATGACCTGAGCCAAAGTCGGACGCTTAACCGACTGAGCCACCCAGGCGCCCTATGCCTGTCATAATTTAATTGGCAGAATTTTCTTTTTCCCTACAGGTTAAAAAAAATAATGGTGTGTATTACAACTAACTGCATCATGGGTATAATAAAATATTTCCTATCCTTCTGCCATACCCACTCTTACAAGTCTTCAATCTTTAACCTAAATCATGTCTCAGCTTCAACACATCATGTCCCAAACCAAACCATTTCTCTTTCAATATTCCTAGACATCCCCTATGTGACAGTTCCATCTTGGTATTTAATTAGGTCTTCCTTTTTTTTTTTTTTTTTTTTTTGTTTATTTATACTTGAGAGAGCGAGAGCATGCACACTTGAGCGGTGGAGGGGCAGAGACACACACTCAGAAGCAGGCTCCAGGCTTGAGCTGTCAGCACAGAGCCCAAAGCAGGGCTCACACCGCCGAGCCAAGCCGTGAGATCATGACCTGAGCTGAGGTTGGACGCTTAACAGAAGTTCCTCAGGCTTAACCTGAGCTGAAGTTGGATCTGAGCTGAAGTTGGACGCTTAACCTGAAGTTCCTCAGGCTAGAAAACCTAGGAGCATCTTTCACTTAACTCTGTTAACACTATACGTATAATCCACAGGAGCAATTCCTACTGGTTCCAGTTTTAAATATACACCTACAATCAAAATGTTTTCTTTACCATCTTTGCCATTACTCCCCTAGTCCAAGACATCTTCTTCTCTTGGACTGGACCACTACCAATGCCCCTAAACTTGTCCCCCTACTCCTTTGCTCATATACTTCGCTCTCCTTCTTCTGCTCAAAATGGCCCAGTGCTTCCCAATTTACTTAGACTAAAATTCCAAGTTTTTGTTAGGCTTACTAACCTAACTAGCCTAAATAACCCTCCATGATCTTCCCCCTCCCCAGGTCTCTCTTCTTCCTCTCACTCAATTTACTCAGGCTGATGAAATTCTATGTGCTCCTCAAAAAACCAGGCAAGCTCCTGTCTTAGATCCTTGGCTCCTCAAAGTCCTCCCCATTCACTCATATCCTTCTGATTTCTTACCAGTGAAGCCTTCTTTATTTTTTTGTCTCAAATACACAACCCATTATTCTCTGCTTTATTTTTCCTCTAGAACTTACCACCATCTACATAAAACAGATGTAGTGTCTGTCTCCTCCCATTAGAATGTAAGCTCCATGAAAGGACAGACTTTATTTTGTTCACTACTGTACCACCAGCACCTTAACAGGACATAGCATATGCTAGAAACTCAGTAACTTTAAGCTGCACGAATGAAGACACAAATAAACAATAATAAATAATCCCCTTTACACATTACTGCCAATACTATCGTCTCAGTTCCCCAAGGCACCATTCTGGATGTCTTCTTCCTCATTTCTCATATTGAGGACTGCTGATTTTACTTTAAAAATTTTTAAGTTCTTGTTTCCATTTTTGCTGTTTTTCATTTTTAACCTGATATAACCTGCTAACACATTCTTCTATAATGTATCTCTAGCCCTTTAAGGCTATCCTCACATTGCCAGAATAGTATTCCTAAAGAGCAAATGTGATGTAGTCATCCCCTTTCTTAGAATCTTTTAACTTCTCCCCCCACCCAAGGATAAAGTCAGATGTTTTTGCAAACCCATCACCCATTTTCCTGCCCTTTCTTTGACACCACTCTCAGTGTAATAAATCTGTGCAGGGTTCCAGCAACGGAAATGAGACCCAGGCAAGGCTGATCATAACTGGCCTATGTACCTAAGTAAGATGGTAATCAAGCCAGGTACTTTGCTGGAACTACTAGGAGAAAGGTAGTTTGAGCCAGAGGGATGTGAATCCTGAACTGCTGATCTCTGCCACCTTGTGGGTAGTCTGCTTAAGAATAAAGCCAACACAGAGGAAAAGAGAGCTGAGAAAGAAAAAGAAAAACATATTCTTGGTAACAATTTTCGAGTGCTTGGACCCAGTGGAGCCTGAAGTAATTTCAAGCTCTTGACTTTTTAGTTAGATGAGCTTATATATTTCCACTGATTAAGCAAGTTTTTGAGTTCAGTTTCTACCATTTACAAATGAAAGAATTCTGACTTATACCAAATCTACTCCTCCTGTCTACTGTTCCAGCAATATCACTTTCATACTTTACCTGCCAGCTTTAATTTTATAGTTCCTCAGAACATTATTATGTTGTACCAAATCTCTGTGACTTTGCACATTCTGTTCCATGTTCCTTGAATGTCTTCTCTGCTTTACTGGCTGGAAGAACTGCTAATCTTTCTTCCAGAACTGAAATACCTCTTATACTACTCTAACTGATTACTTTAACCCCCAAGTACAGTTGAAAGATCTCTCCTCTTCCTTAAATATATTTCTCTTATGCAATTTTTCACCCTACTTCTGGAAGCCTTTCTTGATTCCTGGGCCTCTGCTTAGTACTTCTACACCTGTTCATTCTTCAAATATTTACCTGGTCAGTTACGTGCTAGGCATAATGCTGGGGATACAATGGTAGTTCTACTGTCAAGGAACTGAGAGTATACTGGAGGACACAAATAAACAAAGCAGGTGGTTATAATATAATGTGATTAAATGCTAGGATAGAACAAGGCATCTTGAACTTAAGGGATTCCTGTAAGAGATGATATTTAAATTAAGACCTGAAAGATGAGCTAGAATTAAAGATCAGGGAAGAAGAATGTCTCAGAGAGTAAGAACAGCACAGCTGCTCTGAGATTAATAGTTTGGTAACTGAAACTGGTTCTATCGTATTATCTCCCTATTAAAAACTGTAGTAATCTGGGTATATTTTCTTCTCTGTTAGATGATACATTCTTTGACAGTCATTTCTTGTTCATCTTTTTAGAGAACTCATTTTCGTTTAAGTCATGCAATACTGAACAGACCTATTTTTTATGGATGTTAGGAATTGAAACTTTTGATAATCTCAATTTTCTGGAATTCCTTCCATTGACATCAGTTTGCTCCTTGATATTAGATTCTTACATTAAAATAACTGTAACTTAAAGATGTTAAATGTAATTTATTAACACAATCCATTGCTTACCGTTCTCTTTCTCCAGTTTCTATCAACTTTTGGTTAATCGCTGCTCTCATCTGCGCATCTTTGTTCATCTTGCTAACCTGAACATCAACATGTATTTTCAGATACAGAACACCCACAAAGCATTTTCTTCTAAATCCTCTAGGTAAGCATCCCATTTAACATTTAACATTCTATCAACTGAAGGAGTGATAAATTTCAACATTGTGTTAACAATGTCATTACTCTTAATATCGTTTACTGCATCCCAATAAGTCATACTGATTAACTCACAATTTTCTTTCCCCATATACCCTTTATTAATGAGTCCTTATTTAATAATAATTATTGTCACATTTATGAAACACTTATGTGCCCAGTACTGGGTTAACACATTGGGGCTTTTTTTAAACCTCATTTAATTCCCAAAACTTATTTTTTTATGTATGAATTATTAACATAATTTGTATTTTACAATTGAGAAAACTGAGGCACAAAGATAAAAAGTGGTGAAGGCAGGATTTGAACTCAGGTACTCTGACCTGAGAAGCCCCCAAACACTTTAACAGCACATCATAACTGACTGCTAATAATTTCTGCACTTTAACTGCATTCAAAATTTCTGGGAAGCCATGTAACCTAAATACCAATAAAAGATCAAGTACTGTTGGTGAAAAATAAAATTTCCAGATTAGGTTCTAAGTGCTTTACTTTTCACTAGGATGCACCCAGAAGTACAACTCTCAAACTAGCTCCAAGTATGTGTTTGTGTATGCTCTTCATCAAAGCTGAAAACAAATCTCGAACTAATTCCCAACACAGAAAATTCTCAATTTTCAGAAAAAAAAAAGAAGAAGGTTAGAATGTAAAAACTTGGAATACAGTAACATAACTGCACTTAATCTGTCACTAACTCGGGACCACTTTTGTTGTCTCCCATCTTCGCCTATGTGAAAACTCAGGCTGGCAATGAGTTTTGAGTTGGGAAAAAAATTTTTTTTGAGTGGAACAGGAAAAAGGAGGGGTTGAGAAAGGACTTAGTAATGTTTGCTTATGTCGTTGGAGGCTAACATTTTCAAAATAACTCTAAGGTCTAGTAGGTACCATTCCTAGAATATTGAACTTGATCTCGCCTTGGCCCCTAAAATACGGATAGTGACCTTGGACAAGTCAATTCTTAAAGGCCTCAGTTTTCTCACTGGTAAAACAAGGGCGCTAGGGGAATCCCTCCCAGTTCAGACATTCTTTGGGAAAATAGAATAGGGCGGAGACAGCGGGAGAGGCGGGAGGGGAGGAGCCAGAAAACAAAGCGTGGACTGGCTTCAGGCCAACTCCGGTTGCACGCCCTGTCGGAGAGCCCTACAGGCCCGCGAGCGCGGGTCGGGGAAGCTAACGAAAGACAGCACATCGAAAGGAGCCTGGGCTGGGCCCGGGTCCCGGCCCTGAGGACCACGGGCATAGCTCACCACCATCACCGCGGGCGAGGGCCGTCCCTTCCCAGCGACGAAATGACCCTTGCGCTGACGACCGTTACCTACCACACTCTTCGGCTGCCCGGACTTAGACCCTCAGTAGCTCGGGCACCTAAGCACACAGAAAGCTAAAACACGCATTTCCGGGGCGGGGTCTCGCCACCCTGCCTATAAATGTGAGAATTTAACCAGCGCGGGCCGCCTCCTGGTAGCTCAGCCCTCTGGGTAAGAAAGTCCATACCCTGCAGTCGTGCGGGCGTTAAGTCTCCGAAAGACTACATAGCCCGGCATGCAACAGAGTCAACTTTCGCATGGACACTACATTTCCCAGACGGCGCCCCACACCGCAGTGTTTTCTGGGATGGGAACCACGCCGCCTGCGAGCCTCGGTGCTACGAGCGAAGCGCGGACCTTTCAACAAGAGCTTTATTAATTTTCACGCTGCGACCTAGGAAGGCTATGGAGGTGGCTGCTAATTGCTCTCTGCGCGTGAAGAGACCTCTGTTGGATCCCCGCTTCGAGGGTTACAAGCTCTCCCTCGAGCCGCTGCCCTGTTACCAGCTGGAGCTTGACGCAGGTGGGAAGCGGCGGCGACCCCCGGCACTCTCCCCACTTTCGGCTGCTGGCAGCCGGACCCTTTCCTCATTTTCTTCCTTTCTGTCTTGGGCAAGCAAGGCGACCGGGGCCTTCCGTATATCCCGTCGGGCTAGCGTGGACCGGGGATGGCCGCCTCTGGAGAGGGAAGCCCATCCCGGAACCCAGTGGGAGTCTCCTTCGCCTGGCTCGGCCCGAGTTCCAGGGTCCGTCACGCAACTGCTGCCTGGCCTCTGGGCGCTTGTCCGTCCCTGGCCTGGGCCCCGCTTTCGCTCTCTAGCATCCTCGGTAACCGTGTGCGTTGAGAAGCCACACCTTGGAGGACCTCCCAGATGGCGGAGATTCATTTCTTAGAAAGAAACTCCATTGCAATTCAGAGGATTTTCAGTTGCATAGGTGCTGTCAGTCTAAGGACACTATCTTAGAGAATATCTCTAGGAAATTTTGAGGAAACGTTGATTTAGTACCTACACTTCTATTTGTGTGTATTTGAGGCTGACCAAAATATTCATCCTTGTTCTTAGAACGTAATGAATGGTATTTTCGTTAAAGATAAAGGGCCCAGAGATTTGCATTTTTAACACACCTCTACTGATTCTGATGCGTGTTGAGTGCATCACACTTTGAGAAATACTGATCTAGACTTAATAAATTTTATCAGATAAGTGTTTATTAATTGATTTATAAAATTCAGAAACCTCTATCAAGACCTTGTTTTATGTTACCTGCTGATATTATCAAGATAAATGAGGTACAGTCTGTGACATAAAAGTGCAGTTGGGTACTTGGGAAGAAAAATATAAACAGATAAATTTAGAGCAGTCTGATAAGGCAGTGATCTGGTTATGTACAGAACACAATGTTAGTACTTAAGTATCTTTCCAAACCAGCCTGGAGATCTGGGAAAGCCTCCTGGAGAAGTTGATATCTAAGTTGAGTTTTTAAGAATAGGTAAGAGTTGACTCGGGTAAGATAAAATGAGCTTGGTTTTTCTTTTCATTCCCTTCCTTTCCTTCTCCCACCCTGTGTCAATAAATGGTACCATCATGTTTAATTTATGCATGAAAAGGCCACCCAAAACTCAGTGCTCAAAAGAGTAAGCAGTTATTGTTGCTCACAGGTCTGTAAGTTAGGTAGGTGGTTCTTCTAGTCGTGGCTTGGGTTTATTCCTGCATTTTTGTTCAGCTATGTGTCTGCTTTGTCGCTCTGCTCTTGGCTGGACTTCCTCATATGTTTGGGGGTTCTCTGGCTATAGATTGGTATAGGATTATTTCAGATGGCTTCTACTTAGTTAGGTTTTCTCCATGTGGTCTCATTCTTTAGCAGGCTTTTTACTCCAAGAGAAAACCAGCAGTGCACAGGCACTTTTATAAGCTGCTGCCAGGAAAAAGTTTGCTCTTGTCCCATTGGTCAAAGCAAGTCATATCATCAAGCCTTAAAGTCAGTATAGCAAACTCATAGCAAAGACAGAGAGGCATAAAAAATTGGAACTATTAGTGCAAGTCTACGTAATTGCTTATATTGGAGTCATGAAGTATTTCTTTTATCCCCTTGTTCAGTCTGTCAGCAAGTACAGTCAGCTCAAGATTTGACTTCTTGCCTCCACCCTTGTCCAAATTAGTTATTTTTTACCTTAACTATAGTAGCTTATTGAATAGCTTTCCTGCCATTTCATTCTCCTTCATTCCATTCTCTGTAAAGCAGTATTATCGTAGTTTTTAATTCTATATTTATTTGATATCTTTTTCCTCCACTAGACTGTGACTCCATGAAGATAATGTTTCTCTTTTATTCACTACTGTATCCCTAACGCTTAAGATTATAGGTACTCAATAAATTGAATGAGTGAGGAAAAGAAGTTGTTATTGAGGTCACTCCATTTCTGAGAAAGCGTGAGTAAAAAAGGGAAAGAGTAAAATTGGGTTTTGTGTAGGACACTGCTGCAGTCCTGTATTGCTGGAGGAAAAAATCTGGGGAATGAGAGATGAGTTAGAAAGATAGATGAGGGCACTGTTTGTTTTGTGGACTTTGCACCTCTGGTGTGTCTAAGTCAGTATTTCTTTTCATGGGCTTTTACAATTAAAAATAAAGTTCAGGGGGCGTGTGGGTGGCTCAGTCGGTTGAGCGTCCAACTTCAGCTCAGGTCATGATCTCATGGTACCTGACTTTGGGCCCCACGTCGGGCTCTGTGCTGACAGCTCAGAGCCTGGAGCCTGCTTCGGATTCTGTGTCTCCCTCTCTTTCTGCTCCTCCCCGGCTCACACTCTGTCTGTCTGTCTCTCTCTCTCAAAAATGAATGAAGATTAAAAAAAAAATAGATAAAAGTAAAGTTCAGCTGTCAAAGATTTGCCAACTTTTTAATTTGCTAAGTGGAGATGTTTCTTTTGTTTGTTTCAAGTGTTTATTTAAATTCTAGTGTAATATTGGTTTCAGGAGTAGAATTTAGTGATTCATCACTTACATGTCACCCAGTGTTCATCACAAGTGCCCTCCTCAATACCCATCATCCATCTAGCCCATCCCTCCCATCCACCCCCCCCACCCCAATCAACCCTTAGCTTGTTCTCTATAGTTAAAAATCTCTTATGGTTTGCCCCCCTCTTTTCCCCCCTCTTCCCATGTTATCTGTTTTGTTTCTTAAATTCCACATATGAGTGAAATGGTATGGTATTTGTCTTCCTCTGACTGACTTGTTTAGCTTAGCATAATACATCCTAAGTGCAGATGTTTCTTAAACACGGTGATGTCCTCACCCATTCTTTCATAAGTAAAAGGATATTTGAACATCAAAAAAACAGGAAGCAAACTCTCACAATCGTCCTCTAAATTGAATACATTAACTTTATTAACGAGTTCCTAAGTTGTCATTGTTTTTTCCTTTTTTCACCATTTTTGGTATTGGAATCTGTGTTTGGGATGCACAATTGGAGGTGGTGATGAGCTGCCATTTAGGGTTTTAAGAATAGAAAGCAGATAGATTTAGAGATTGAGTGGTTTACTCTTAGCATCTGTGGAGGCTGGGGGCTCCTGGGTTGCTCAGTCAGTTAAGCATCTGACTTTGGCTCAGGTCATGATTGCGTGGTTCGTGGGTTCGAGCCTCGTGTCGGGCTCTGCTGACAGCTCAGAGCCTGGAGTCTGCTTCTGATTCTGTGTCTCCCTCTCTGTCTGCTCCTTTCCTGCTTGTGCTGTGTCTCTCTCTGTTTCTCAAAAAATAAAATAAAATGTTTAAAAAAAAAAAGAGGATCTGTGGCAGCTGAATTTGGGAGATTGGAGGAATAGAGGCAGGGAGACCAGTTTGGAGGCTTTTGCCATAGTTTATATGAGGGGCTTGCATTAAGAATTACTACCTGATGGGGTACCTGCATGGCTCAGTGTGTTAAACATCCAACTTCTGCTCAGATCATGATCTCATGGTTTGTGGATTTGAGCCCCACATCGGGCTCTGTGCTGACAGCTCAGAGCCTGGAGCCTGCTTCAGATTCTGTGTCTCCGTTTCTCTGCTCCTGCCCCACTTATGCTCTGTATCTGTCTCTCTCTCAAAAAAAAAAAATGAATAAATATTTAAAAATAAAAAAGAATTACTACCTGAGAATGATGATGAAGAGGTTAATTCTTTTATTTTTATTTATTTATTTTTTTAAGTTTATTTATTTTGAGAGGGACAGAGATAGCGTGAGTGGGGGAGAGGCACAGAGAGAGACAGAGAGAGAACGAGAGAGAGAGAGAGAGAGAGAGAGAGAGAGAGGCAGAGAATCCCAAGCAGGCTCTGCACTGTCAGCACAGAGCCTGCGTGGGGCTCAAACCCATGAAACCTTGAGAGTCAAACCTGAGCCAAAATGATGAGTCAGACGCTTAAACAACTGAGCCACCCAGGTGCCCTGAGATTAGTTTGTTTAAAAATTGTCATTTCTGGAGATGGTGAGGTATGATTGAGGAGCTCCTCTTGGCAACTTGATTTCTTCTATACTACCCAAGGAGTTTACATTATTTCAGCAAAAACATTAGTGGACGGTGTGTGAAGCTTTGCATTTAGAATGTGAGGTTGAAGATGTGCTTTCATCTTGAGGAGTTTTAGTACTGGCTCATTTTTATTCTCTTATTTTAAATAATACTAGCAAATTGTTCTAAAGTTCCCTTTGCTATATAAACAGTACAACTGTCAGTTTGTGTTTTTCTTTTTCTCCCCAAATTTTATTTATTTTGAAAGAGAGAGAGAGAGCATGAGCAGGGGAGGGGCAGAGAGAGAGAGAGAGAGAGAGAGAGAGAGAGAGAG